CCCCCTGCCTGTCATCCTGGCCTGACTTGTTTTAGAACAAGTCAGATAATGCCACTCTTGGGCCCAAATCCTTCTTAAGGCCTCTCATGCCACACAGAGTAAAAGCCACAGTTCTAATGGCCACCTGCAAGACCCTCTGCGAGCTGCCCCCATTCCATGCCCCACTAGGCTCCCCTCGGTCACTCTGCTCCTGCCACACCAGGCACACTCCTGCCTCAGGGCCTTTGCACTTGCTGCTCCCTATGGCGCATCCCCTCACTGCTCGGTAAAGCCTTCCCTGACCATTCTATGTAAAGCGCAGCCACCTGCCCCACCCCTCACTCTTTCCTCTCGATGGCACTTACCACCCACCTGACAAGTCACATATGTATTTGCTTATTTGTTTAGTGTCCATCTCTGCCATAAGGGCAAGAACTTTTACCTGTTTTGTCTGCCACCATTTTCCCAAAACCTAGACTAGCAAGTAGCATAGATTAGAAGCTGGTGTTGAACGAATGATTGAGTAAGCCCGGAACTCTTAACAAAATGTAAATAATGGGTTCTCAATTCAAGCTCCCAAAGCTTGACACCAATATTTCCTCACATCTTTATTTATCCTTTATTCTTATTTCATGAAGAGGTATCACACTTCCTGGTTGAGCCTAAATTATCCCCCTGGGCTCCAAAACCTACACCCTCTTATTTCCTTAGAGACCTTATTCTTGTCCTTGTTTTGTGCCTGGCTGGAACAGGAATGCTTTTAATGTTTCACAAGAAAGTGTGACGTGTGCTGTAGGTTTCTGGTAACTACCCTTCACCAATTTCTTTCTTTCTCTTCTATCTTTCTCTTCTCCTTCCTCCCCCCATATTCAACCTCCCCCCTCCTTCTCCTCTACCTAAAAACATCCTCATGATTACTATATTTACAAAAAAAGTGGTGCCCAATCCCTTGTTACCCTCTTTAACAACCATTCTCCCCCCTTTTATCACAAAACCACTCAAAAGAATAGTTAGTTTGCCATCTGCATTCCCTCTCCACTCATCCTCAATCTCTCACGGTCTGGTTTCTGTCACCACCACACACTGAAAATATGCCTTTGATGATTTTCAAAGGGGCCACCTAACTGGCAAGCCCGTGGATTTTCCTCAGTCCTCCTCCTCGTGCTCCCACCAGACGGACATTGCTAACTCCCTGCCCCTCCCCCTTGAAACCCTTTACCGTCTTGACTTCTACAATGACACACTGTCCTGGTGTCCTGCCACCACCTGACCATTCACTCTCACTCCCCTTTGCAGCCTCCACTTCTCCTCATGACCATTCCATCCTCAGTTCTTTTCTCTCCACGCCCTCTGACATTGAGATCTCAACCACACCCCAAGCTTTAACCTTCACCTTTGTGAGAATGATCCCCAAATCATCAAACTCCAGTTCTAGATGTTCAACCATCTTCCCCATCCATCTCTACCTAGAGGCTCCACTGCCACCACAAACTCAACGTACCTAACACCAGTGCTTCATCTTTCACCAAACCAGCCACTCCTCCAACACCCTGCTTGTTAACAGAACTACCACTCTGTTTCTATTCATTTTCCATTTCTCCCTCTCCCTCACCCACTACAGCCAACCAATACACAAGCACACTGGGTCTACTCCCACAGTTTCTCAGCATCATCTCTTTGTCATTCCCATGGACAGTGCTCTAATCCATTCCCCCATCACTTTGCCTAGCTAATCAGCTCCTAGCATCTCCTGGCTCTAAGTCTCTCCCATGTAGCAACCTTCCTGCCCAGGCCCACCGGACACATCTTCCTAAACTACCTCTCTGATCATGGCATATTCCCCTGACTAACCTACAGTGAGGACTTCTTGCATTGCTGCTAGGTAAAATTCAAGCTCCTTAGTCTGGTATTTAAGACCCTCCTGAGACAGATCCCAGGCTACCTTTCCTGACTTTCCCTTACACAACCTATATGCTCTCGATCTAGTCACTATTCTTTAAACGTTTCCTTTTGGTATTTATTTTTTAAATTTTTATTCCCATATCCTCTTGTCAAATCAATTTCAAATATTTCCTATGCTCTCCTGTCTTCACTCTGAACCCTCTCCGTCTGGTGACTTCACCCATGCTCAAAATCCTTTCCATCGTCCAAGGCTTGGTTTAAAACCCACACTCAAAACAGCCTCCCCAATCTCTCTAGCTCATAGTGATTTCTTCAGTTCTCTCCCACAGAACTTTCTCCATACCTCTCTTATTATAAACGACTTCATTTTAATGTTCCAGTTCTTTTCTCCTCTACTAAATTCTAGACTTCTTAAGGATAAGATCCATATCTTATTTCCAACATGCATTGAAATATCCACCTCTAGAGACATCTGAGATCAGTCCAGTCACAGAATCAGGAACATAAGATAACTCGATCAGACTCTCCAACTCTGGCTCTTGTTTCTTTTTCTTATCTTATTGCATTGGCTAGGACATCCAATACAATGTTAAATGATAGTGGTGATAAGAGACATTCTTATTTCGTCCCTGGCTATAACAGGAATGTTTCCAATGTTTCACAAGAGAGTATGATGTGTGCTATAGGTTTCTGGTACCTACCCTTTATCAAGTTAAGAAAATTGTCCCTACATTCTCTAAGATTTATGCTGAAATCAGACTGGTGGTTGGATCAAAGTGAAATGAACCAGGGACACAGTACTGAGGTATGGAAAATAGCCAAGGAGGAAAGGGCAGACCTGAGGGAGAAATGCCAGGAGAAACCAGATCAATTTCATGGCCATGAAGAGGTTCTCCCTCAGATCTGAGCTTCCCAGGTTACTCATGTCAAAGCTTATGTTCCAGCTTATTGTAGCAAAATGCAAAATGAGCAAAAAGAGGTAGTACTGGACTTCTATCCTCCCTGGCTCCCAGACTGTTCTACACATTGATCCTGCCTGTGTGCCTTTAAGCACCGCAGACACACCCTAAAGAGCTACTAAGGAAGTATATAAGCAGGACCTGCTGACATAATAAATTCTGTTCATGACAGAGCCTGGACTAAATAGGCACTTCATAGCCCTGGGAACCAAATATAACTTCCCCCTCTATACTATCTCATCCTGTCTCCTGACTGAGTCACTCACAGTTGGTGGAGGAGATGGGTAAGACGGTTAGGGAATACAGACCCTGTGCCAACAGTATCCTTCCCTCCCTATGACTTCATGGCAGCCAAAGCCTGAAAGGCTGCAGGATATGGAAGTTGACAGTCAAGACCTCAGAAGCTGGTAGAAGACAAAGGGCTGAAGGGAGGTCCACTACAAGATGGGCATTCTCTCAGGGCCGTTAGGGCTGTGTCTTCCTCTTGAGTAAACTCCAGGAGAGCTATATAGAAGGATTCCAGTAGGGAGAGGAAAGAAGGGAAACTCATTCAGCTCCCCAGAGAGGAGTCTCCCAGATCCTGCCCATCATTAGAATAGAGTGTCACTAGTGTCCAGGCCACCACCCCAACTCTGTAAAATAATGGGAGGGAAATTAAATTCCCAGGGAATTTGGGTAACCCTATTCCTCTCCCCTCAATGAAATCAAAAGGAAAGGGATCTCTGCTGACAGAGCAACCAGGGGGTGTTCTTATCTCAGGAGCTCAGGTGTGGGAGAAAGCATAAGTTGAAGCTCCATCTGGACCACCCCATGGTGCATTTCACCCCTAGGATTACAGAGTTGCTCATGCTATGTTTTGATGCCCAGGTAAAAGCAATGACGCACCACTAGACCAGCTGGCCCAGGGAGGAGAAGCCCTGGTGGCCAATTTCCATGGTGTAAACACTCCCATTATGGCCAATGTCAACAGTGGAACTGGGGACTCCGCTCTGCTCTGAAGTACAGGAGCAGGGTGCCTATGTCCCCACACCCAGGTCCTGAGCCAGCCTGGCCTGCCCTGAGCTGCTTCCCCAAACCCACAGCCCATCCCCAGGGAGGGTGTCTCCTTCCCTCCCTGCAGCTGGCATGGTGATTCAGCTTCCCCTAAATTTAGGACAAAGGGTGGAGGACAGAGTCAGCTGCCCAGGCTGCTCTTCTCCCCACTGAGCTCCCACCACCCTGTCAGCTGAGTGGCTGGGCACAGGCCCACCTAACCCCACAGTCTCTGGTCCATCCCTGCCTGGGCTTCACCTCCACAATAAAATCAACCCACACGATTTCCCACCCAGTTTTGCCGACTCTGGAATGCTCAGAGGCTTAGGCCAGTGGGAAGGAAGGAAGCCCCACAGCTGTCCCTCACAATAAGTTCTTCTGGTTGTCCCCTCTCCCTCCTCTCTCCAGAAAGATAAGCCCATTCTCTGATAGGAAAAGGAGCTTCATCTCTTAATGCCTGCTTCCCATACACAGCTGGTCCGAAGCAAGCACTAACAGGAAAGCCAACAGAGGACCTTGGCCTCCCCTCAAAGACAATATCCTAAAAGGCCCCTAGGAAGAGCCAAATCTTCATTATGGCCTCTGGGAGAGCACAAGAGGGAATTTGAGTGTACAACCCACCCCCCCAGTCTTCTTCACGCTTTCCCCAAGGAAATGAAGTCTGAGGATAGACAGCACAGCAGACAATAACAGACTCTCCTCTCTGTCTAGAAAATGTATACACCAACCCCAAAGTCACCTCCTCAAGAAAGCCTTCCCTGATTGCCCTAGGTGGTAAGCTTTGCTTTCCCAGGCTCTGACGTCTTGCATCCCTACCTCTGTCATAGCACACATTGCACTCTGTTAGAATTATCTGTCTGGGTACGCATCCCCTCACCAGACTGTAAATTCCTTGAGGGCAGAAATTGATAGACACCGATCTTTGAATTTCAGTGCCTGGCTTGGTGGTGCCTTAATAGACAATGAATGCAGTAAGGGATGGATGACACATGGGGTCCTGACAGCCTCTTCCCCGGGCCAAAGCCACGTCTGCTGAGGGGTCATAGCTGTGCCTACATCTCCCCCCAGCAAGAAAAAACAAGGGGTTAGGAAGGAATTCCCAGGACTGATGGTCCCTGAAGCTCTTACCTGCTACCCTGTGGGCCACCAGCCCTTCCAGATTCAATGGCTCCTCCTCTGGAGTTCGGGAGGGGTCTGAAGTCGCTTCCTTTGGTGGGAGCTGTGGCTGAGCAGTGAGGCCAGGGAGAGAGGCTGGGGGCTGCTGAGGCCCTGGAGGGGTGTGGGAGTTTGGAAGGAAGGCGGGCAAGGAGGAGGAGGCTGGGCTCTTTGGACGGAAACCCTGGCTGGGCCCAGCTGGACATGGCTGGTAATCATAAGGAGAGTAAGACCTGCCCGGAGGGACAGACTCCAGGGAGGCCTGTGGGGCCGACTCAGGAGTTCCCAAGGAATGCCCACTGGGGATATAGCCAGATCTGGACTGGGTCAGTGGATGGGACTGGCGGGAGGAGCCGGAGAGGGGCTGGGAAGAGAGTGGGGAAGCCCCTGGCCAGGCTCCTGGGACACTCTGGGACTTGTGCAGGGGGGCAGCGGCCGAGGCCGGCTCCAGATCCAGCATCAGCATGTTGAGTGCTTCGATGGACTGCTCGATCTCCTTCTGGGAGGCTGCCCTTGGGAACTCGGGGAGCCCGGGGATGGGGGTCTCTGCTAATGGCTGGGGGCTGGGCCTGCTGGTCACGAGACTCTCCAAGGGGACTCTTTCCTGTTGGCGAGGAGGTGGGCGAGGCTGCTGCTGCTGCTGCTGCTGCTGCTGCCATGAATTCAGCCCCCTCTGCACAGCCTCCCGGCTGCTTCCCCCACGGGCTGGAGCTAGGGGCAGCTGGGGCTCAGCTTCCGAAAAGGACTGAGAGCGGAACATACCGCTGGGGTCATGACCACAGTGGGAGGTGGTCATTGGCTGTGTCCAGGCCTGGTGGGGCCCCTCCCGCTGGTAGCCAGCTAAACCCTCCTGTGCAGAGTAGGAGGGCCGCATGGGGGCCGTGTGGCTGACATGGGCCGGCACTGCCCGGCTGGCGGGCTCGTAGGAGTAGCCCCCACCATTGACCATAGGCTCCACGGGGTAGGGCTTGTCCAGACCATTGGGCAGCGGGGACAGGGCCTCTGGGTAGCCCACCTCACTGGTGTTGGTGACCCCGTCCAGAGAGGACAGAGTGCCCATGCTGCCCACGCTGTGCCCATCCTGGTTGGGCAGCTCATCGTCCAGGATGTCTGTCTCCCGCTCAGATGCCAAGGCCCTGCCATTGACGTGAACCTGGGCTGGGACAACATGGCGGCCCGAGGAGGGCGCAGCTGGGCTGCCCGCCGGGCGGGACCTGAGGTGCTGGGGGTGGTACATGGCGCCTTGCTTCTCTCGCTCTAAGCCAAAGCCACTCAGCAGTCGATCCAGCTCCTGCTTTTCCTCAGGACTCAGGGCAGCAGGGATGCTGGAGACCCCGGGGACAGGCTCATCGGTCTTGTCAGTCTTGGTGGAGGCCGTGGAGTTGCCCGAGTCACTGCTCACCGAGAGTGTGTGCTCCACGTGGTTGGGGGTGGCTGACAGGACGGGACGCGTGGCATTGACGGCCCCAGTGCTGCCGTGCAGGGAGTCCTTCTTCTTCACCTTGGCATACAGGCTTCCGTCCAACGGCCCCTGGGTGTGTCCCACCACCTCTGCAAGGGCAGAGCCAAAGGGGAAACAAGAGAGAGCAGACGTCAGTGGGAAGCAGGGACATCATCCATGCTCCCAAGGGAAGGAGCTAAGAGCTCCCTTTCCTGGATCCTAAAACCTCCTCTCACCACTCAGAGGTGGGGGAGAGGGACAAGGACCAAAGGACCCTCACCCCCACTGGCTTCAGAGACAGGCAGTGGAGCCCAACACGGAGCAGTCCAAGCTTAGCTCCACATCTCCCTCCCCAACCACAGAGGCGTGGATTACTCTCTGGGCCTCAGTTTCCTCATCTGTAAAATGTGGAAAATAATAGAATCTGGTTGAACTATATGAAATTGCCAATAATCATTAAACACATAATGCTTTGAGTTTAAAAGGGTTGACCCGTGACATGCATTGAGACCAGTGCCTGGCACATGGTGACAGCTCAACAGCTAGGAGCTATAACCATCGCCATCGTGAGTATAATTAATTCCTGAATGGTGATTTCCAAAGCATCCCAGGTCCCCTCTGCCACCCCATCGCAGAAAGCTTTGCCCCTGCTCTGATTCCTGGACTTCCCACCCTGGGTTAGGGGCGGAACGCCAGGAGAGGTAGCCGTAGCCCTGCGTGTGCAGGAAGGTGTAAGTGTGGAGATCCATCCTCCCTGGGAACAGCCTCTGCACAGGGAAATCAGCGGGGAGCCTGGGAGGGCAGTAGGGTGCCATGAGAGGTCCACCACGGCCAAGGTAGGTGGGGGGAGGCTGGGGCGGGCTAAGACTCTCTAAGACAAACTTGCTCTCACGCCTCCACAGCTGAGTCTGTCTGGTTCAACACAAAGAATTTTCTAGAACTGTTCAGACGTACAATGCCATTCATCCCACCCACTGCCACATTTTCAGAGGCCTCTCCCAGTTCCTCCCTCAGCACTGCCCATACCACCCAAGCCTCCCAGGAAGGGGCCCTGGTCAGGCGGGTAAGTCAGGTGGGATGGGAGCCCGCCTGCAGAAAGGGGAGTCCAGAGCGCTGCTGCTCCCAGCCAGCCGAGGACCCCTGAAGGGCTGGGCCATGGCGGGGTTCAGCAAACCAGCAGTCCCTACGCCGGGAGGCCCACTGGGTGCTGATGCAGGGGGTTCATGGACCAGGGCGGTGGGGAAGGACTTTAGGGATCAAAAACACAGAAGCAAGAGGTCTTTGTCAGGGAGAGGTGTCTTTTTGTCTGTAGACAGCTCTGGGGACCCCCGTGAGCTGCACTTTCTCTGAAAGGAAAAAGTGAGCGCTGGGTGGCTCGGGGCCAAAGGGCTGACTCAGGAGCGAAGAACTTCCCCCGCCCAGAGGAACTCAGTGACCTCACACCCTGTGCAGTCAGCAGCCCAGCCCCCAGCCCTGACACACGCATACACACACACACACACACGCACACACGCCTCCCTCCCTTCTCTCCAATCCAGCCCTCAGTTGGCAAGGGAAAAAGCCCCCTTCCAAAGATTGCACCAGCTCCAGCCCAGACACCAGCAGTCCCACACAGGGCCAGACACAAAGACGGTCAGACACGCACACCGACCCAAATCAGAAACACCCAGACATGTGCGCTCGCTGAGTGCCCACACAACGCCAAGAGCCACGGTCAGAAAGCACGGGCGTGGGTGTGTGCGTGCACACAGTGATGACAGTAGCCAACATGCAGTGAGACCTCCTGCGTGCCACACACGGTGCTAGGCACTTTACACACGCGTGATTTCTAACCCTGTGAGTCGGACAGGATTATACGTATTATAAAGATGGAGAAAATGAGGCTCTGAGAGGGGAACTATTTACATGTAAACACATAGTACCTGGTAAAGCCGAGATTTGAAATCAGACTCGTCTACTTCAAAGACTATGCAATTTTTATCACGCTACTTTTCTCTCGTATCACACACACTTACACACAGAGTTGAATAAACACATAAAAGACAGGAATACCCCAAAATAAATACTTAAACTTAAAGCCACAAGCATTTCAGAAAATACAAATGTTCCTACCACGTGCAAAGATTAGCCCTTAGGCCAGATGTGGCAGCCGCCAAAAATAAACACTCATACAGAAGCCCATCGCCAAAAACAAGTGCTCAGACGACCACGAAACATGAATATCCTGATCAACACACACACATGAACCACAGGCAGCCAAGTTACGTCACCAAGAGGGCGCACAGAGATGCTCCACCAGGTACGTGCATCCCCCTACACACACACACACACACGCACGCACGCACGCACGCGCACACGCTAGGTGCTCTGCCCAGTCACTGAACTCTCCAGAATCACCTCTCTGCCCCTAGTTTTTCCTGAGGCTTCGGGACCTCAGCCAGCAGCCAGCTCAGAGTGACACAGGGCCAGGAGGTTGCAGAGGACCAGAGCTCTTGGGGCTGGGTGCTATTCTGAACTGGAAAGGGGTTTTGGCTGAGAACTGTCTGCATCTCCACCACCCTGGCCCTGCGCCTGGACCCCCAAAGGCTGCTCAGATGTAGATCCAGGCGTGGCTGCCCTCCCGACTCATAGTGGTTCACAGAAGAGCTTTCAGCATGAGAGCTATGGAAGCGTCCCCAAGGCAGGGGGAGAATCCAGTACCTGATATCTTGGCCCTTCATCGCCCTGTGGCCAGGCCCCACTCTGCATCGATTTTGAAAATGTCAATATGAAACTTATTCTGCCATGTAATGTATCCCCACATGGGCTACCGTTTGCAGCAACAACATCAGGAACGATAATAGCCAAGCCACTAAGGCTCAGTTAGAAAATCGAAGAGGTATAAATTGTTTAATTAAATCCTGTTTGCTAACTACAAGTGGAAACGTCTCTTGTTGCCCTCAAAGAAGGAGCTAGTTGCTCCTGACTGCCGTGCTGGCCCCATGGACTGCTAAGGCCAGGCCATCTGCGCCCTGCTGAGCTTTCTGCCTCTTTGTGTCAAAGGGAGACTCTGAGGACACCCAGGCCTGTCCCAGGCCCATCCAGGGGGGGCTCTGCTGAAACCCTAGCATAGGGGCATGACCTGTGGGGCACGCTCCCCTCCTCCTCCCATCAGAGATGAAGGCACGTGCCCCCAGCCCCCACACCGGTACACACTCGTCACTGCCTTCTCCCCGTCCACCACGGCCACATTAAGAGCTATTTACCGGGACCACAAGAAGCCGGAATATGATGTTGGTTTCAATCTATCAAGGCAGGAAGGGCAAAAGAGAGAGGCAGGCAGAGCGGACGAGGAGTGAAATGAGGTGGGAGGGTGGAGAGGAGACTTAAAGGGGGTTGGGGAAGGTCGCTTTAAGGCTCATAAGCTAAGGGGTCACCAGAGCCATCTTGTCGAAGTCCTAACAGCCTTCATCTCAGACGAAGGGAAGTTGAACAGCCAGCAGGAGGAGGCATGGGACGGATCTGCACGGCCGGGGACCTTGGGGACTGGCATGAGTGACAACGGAGTAGAAGGACAGACTGCAGCAGAAACACCAGCTGCAGGCAGCCCCAGGTGGAGAGGTCCCAGGCCCCACGCCCGGGTCAGCCTGGACGTCCTCTCTCATGGGCCATCTCCCTCCTTTCTGCCTCTGGGCAGCCCAGCGCCCTGTTCACGTCTCTAGGGAAGCTGCAGGGCCCACGGTCTCTTCAGGGCCCTGCGTGCTGCATCTGCACATCTCCCCGCTCTTCTCAGCGGCCGCGGGAAGCCCCAGACTCCACCGCTGATGCTGCCCCGATCGCACTGAGGGGCCCTTATTCCACGGTGGCCGTGATCCAGATGTGCGAGTCATGCTTCTGGAAAGCTCTGAGGAAAATCCCCAGCTGACTTGGATGTGGACCCACTCCCTGAGGCACCCCCCTAGTAAATAGCACAGAGGTGTGCGTGGCACTAGAAGAACAGCAGAGGCCAGGACACAGGAGGGAAGAGAGACACATCCGTCAATACACTTAAAAAAGAACAACAGAAATAAACAGGGCATGCTAAAGATATATGGCTTCGGGGCTGCTATTTCCTAACTTTGACGTCCAGAAGAACGTCCCCTGGTGTTGTTAAAAATGTAGGTCCCAGGGCCCTACCCCCAAAAATTTTCACTCAGAGGCCTGGGTGGAGTCAAGAATCGGCATTTTCGCCAGCTCTCCAGGCGTGGTGGCACACACACGGTGGACAGCACCTTGAGAAGCTCTGAAGTCAAGGGCCCCCACTTCTCATCCTGCTGTGAAGTGGGGAGATTTTCCTTATTTAGATGTTGGGACAGATGGCCCAACCATGCAGAATAAAAGGTGTCAGCTAGGTTGACCATAAGAAAGACGTCTTCTCCACTGGCAATGACTCAATGAGAGGCCCTGTCCAACCAGCAGGTCTGTTTTGAAGAGTGAATGATTTATTAAGGTTTTCAGGATGGGGCCCTTCATGATAAAAAGTCCTTTGGGTCCACGTCCAGCAAATAACAATTCATTAAAATACATTACCTGGAGCAGTGATGATCAACCAACGCGGAGGAAAATCAATGCTGTGCCAATAGGAAGAGGCACCGTGCCCACCCTGGACACTGGCAGTTTGGAGGCAGCCTGGGCAGAACTCCTTAAAAGGAGGAGTGGGGAATCTCAGGCCATGTGTGTCCCAGCCGTAGGTGGGCTCTGACAGAAGTGAGGCCTGGCCAAGAGGACATCAGGAAGCAAGTTCCGGACATGTTAGCCCTTTAGCCCCAGACCCTACCCCAGCTTGAAGGGAGGCAGGAGACCAGGGCCTGGGAAAGGGACCAGGGCAGGCCACAAGGGATGCGGCTCTGAAGAGGAGACGGAGGGGAAGTGTGCCCTCCACCCACCACCTCAGCAGCCAGACACACCCGCACTCAGGAAAATGGTCCCCATCCTGATTGGCCAAGTCAGCCTGCGTCAACCACTTACCCATCCGAGCCGGGCCTCCAGGCCTGTCGGGTGAGGATCTGAATGCGTACCTGCAGCTTTGCCGAGGGACAGCACTCAGCAGCTAAGTACGTGAGCTAGGCTGGCACGTCTAAGCACTCTATATTCTCCCCTCCCCATTCCCTGCTTGACATTTCTCAACAGCTCTCAGCACCCACAGAGTAAAGCCCAACCCCCTTGTTGGGCTTGCTAGACCTTTTATCGTCTGGCCCCTGCCTGCCTTGGAAGCCTTACCTTCACTGTCCTCAATACCCCAAACACCCTCCACTCTATTCTTACTCAACTATTTATATGCTCTTTCCTACTCTGTGCCTCGGCACATGCCGTTCCCTCTCATGAAATGCCTTTCCTCACCCCGCCCATGAAACTCTCAGTCTCCCTAGTAAGTCTCTTCCTCCTCTGTCAGCCTCGGTTTGAACTTCTCTGGGAAGATCGCCTTAACCTAATCCCTTTTCTACTGTCCCCAGACTCAAGTAAACCTTTACCATGTTCCTGTTGTCCCTTGTAGATTTCTCTACTGTGACACCAATCTCCCAGAAACGGTCATTCTTGATGTCCATGTCCTTGGCTTATTCCCCACTAAGCCAAGAGCTCCTTGAGGAATGGCCTTTATTTCTCTCTCTCTCTCTATGTCCCTAGGGCCTGGTTCCCAGATGGTGCCATCCACAACATGGTCTACATGAATGGTGCCTCTTGAAATCCATTGCATAACCTGGATGGCTATACAGGATGAACCAAGGAAGTA